CCAGCTAACGTACGCTCGGCCCCCTGTGTGTTCCCTGGTACCAGCCTGGGCTTTCCTCAGACCTCTCTGAGCTTTGAAACCCAGAAAATTTTCATTTAACTCATTTCTCCTTAGACCTTGGTGGCACCCTTGAATTACAGGGTAGTGGGGAACACCTCCCCCTCAGTAGATCTGAACAATGTCATTACGAAGGAATGTGTGGAACTGGGAGATAAACGTGCGAAAAGATGCTCAATCTTACATGTCCTTGGAAAAGTCGCAGATTTGAACAACGAGATACCACCAGGGTCTCAATAAAATGGCTAAAACTCAATACTCTGACGACAGCAGATGCGCGCAGCGTGTGGGGCAGCAGGACCTCTAACTCACGCTGCTGGGAATGCAACGTGCCACGGCCCCGTGTGAAGACACCTTGGCAGTTTCTTTCAAAACTGATCACACTCTTACATGATAAAATGCAGAGACCGCACTCAGAGGGGCTTCCCTAATAAGTCACTGGTGTTCACACAAGCATAGGGATGTAACACTACAGCTCCTTTATTGCTGTCCGTTAAAAGTTAAAAAGCAAATGCTTTATCCTTGAATAGGTGAACGAGAAACAATTCTGTCGATTTGTACAACGGAACAATATGATTTGCAATATCAATAAGTGACTTCTCAGGGCACAGAAGGACATGAGGGAACCTAACACGCATGTGTCTAAGTGAGCGGAGCCCATCTGAAAAGGCTGGCACTGGGAGTGTTGCAGGATCAGGGCCAGGAGCAGGGCTGGAGCCCTGAGCACCAGCTCAGGCCCCAGGCCGCCATGACTCCTGCGCCCACCAGAGGGCGTGTGTGCTCTGCAGCACCTCAGCTGTGAGCCTTTGGCCCTGGCTTTTGTTTCCTGAGTCATCCTGGGCCTGTAGCCCTCCCACTCCTGTGATCTCTTGTTCGCTGCAGGAGCCCTGGCTTGGGTTAGGAGGGGCTTGGACAGCCAATAAAAGGGAAGATTTGCATAAAGACATCCTACTCTAGCGACAGGGTGACATATAAGTCCTGAATGTTCAAGCCCGGCTGTGGGACTCAAGAATCAGAGTCTGGGGGTGTCTCCGCCATGGATTGGGCTCCACTTCTCCTCGCAGTCCTTGCTCACTGCACAGGTGGGGCCTGCAGGGAATTCTGGGAAGCCCTCTCTTTATCAGCTGGGTCAATGACCTCTCCTCCCTCCGTAGGAAGTGGGTCTGTCCTGTCCTCCCTGATCTGTGTGTTGCTCCGTCCTTGCAGGGTCCTGGGCCCAGTTTGTGCTGACTCAGCCCCCCTCTGTGTCGGGGTCTCCGGGACAGAAGGCCACCATCTCCTGCACCCGCAGCAGCGGGAACATTGGGAGCGAGTATGTGTACTGGTACCAACAGCGCCCAGGCAGTTCCCCCACCACTGTGATCTATAAGGATGATGAAAGACCCTCCGGGGTCCCGGATCGGTTCTCGGGCTCCATCGACAGCTCCTCCAACGCCGCCCACCTGACCATCTCTGGGCTGCAGCCTGAGGACGAGGCCGACTACTACTGCCAGTCTTATGATGGTAATAGTAATCACACAGTGCTCAGCCTCATGGGGAAGTGAGACAAAAACTCCCCAGAGCTTCCCCTTCTGGGTCTGTCCTCAGCCTGTCCCCACCAAGGAGGGGGGCTCTCTTCTGTCTTCTGCCGGAAAGTGCATGTTGAGATTATAGGTTTTGATTCCCTCTATTTCTTTCCAACCTTCCCCCATGTCATGACAGTTGATTGCCTATTTCCTTTGTAATGAATTCCTGAGGGTGAGTTAGTGCAGAACAGGGTATCTGAGCACATGCACTTATGACAATGGGGATGCGTCATTGTTTGTGGGGAGGCCTGTTCCGTGCATGTGGGATATTGAGATGCATCCTTTGGACTGTGCACGTTAGACGACATGGCACCCTCGTGATACATTATGACTCACAAAACCACCTCCAGATTTCCCAATATCCTTTGAGGGGCCCAATCACTGCAGTTTGGGAACCACTGTGTTCACAGGACATGTTCTCAGGTGTGAAGGCAGCTTTGACTTTGAGTCCTGTTTATGCCAGTCAGCTGGACGGAGACGAATGTGCCATCTCACTGGGCCTCTCAGTTCCCATCTGTTAGACAAAACAGTTACACAGTCTCGCATGAGGCCAGAGCCTGCGACCCAGTCATGTGCAAACTTTTCTCAGCCGAAGTGTGAAGTGCGGCAGGAGGCCAGCTGGTGGGCGGGGTGTTTTGGCGTTGGAGGGATCGAGCAAAAGGAAAAGTCCTTGTGGGCATGGACACAAGTGTGGTGATTGCTGGGAGGTGGGGTAATGGGACTAATGATAATGGGGAAAAAGGCAATGAAGATTAAAGAGACAAACAAACAAACAAAATGCAATGTGTGAAGTGTAACATTTGGCCAAAATATGTGTGCTGGGAATATTTTGAAATTTTACACATTGCACATAAAATATTTCCTATCTTTTCATTTATTCTCTTAGGGACCATTTTTCCAGCTTGTCGTGCAAAGATCAGTAAACACATGACTAGGTCCCGGACCCTTGGCGCCAGCACGTTTGTGTGGGTCCTAGAGACCAGGCGGGAGCAGCGGGTGAGTGAGGAGCAAACACAGAGGACAGGAGACAAGACGCCTTGCAGGAGCAAACTACCTCCGCAGTGCAAGGTGGTTGTTTCAATGTCAGCTCCCAGTTCACTTAAATACCAATGTATAAGATCATCAGTCGTCACCTGACGCTAATACACAGCTCAAAATCCACCATATGATCAGTGAAATGCAATATTAAACTTCTCAACCCAACGTTCCATAAAGGCTTTGATGGGACAACTCATGAGTGAAGAACCATTGGGTTGAAACGTCTGTGTGAGCAAGGACAGGATCCTGCCCCATGACATGAGTGAAGGAAGCCGATAAATAATTGTCCGAGGACATGTGTGCTGGCCTGGACTTTTTTCTACTCAAATATGTCACCCTTGAACCTCAGGACTCCAGACATGGGATGCCCCGCTCCTCCTTGACCCTCTCGATCCGTACAGCAATCCGTTAGTAACCGCTCAGGGGATTACAAGCCACCACACTAATGTGGCAGTCATTCACAGCGGTTTCTGTCCTGTGCAAGAGTTTGGGAACAAAATACATACTTATGCTGGAAGACGTGCCGATGAAGGGACCTGGTGGGCGGATGCGTTTTCAGTGAGGGAGGGAGCAGAGTGGGAGTAGAAGAGAAAACAAGATGAATCCTACGGACGGTGGGTGAGGTGGGACAATCGAAGCAGGGGGTTCTTTGAACTATGCTCTATAGTTTGTGTCACATCAACACTGTCGTATTAATTCTCTAACTCTGCCTGGGATGATGTGTGCATGCCCTGCAAGAGCCACTCAGAACTGCCTAAATGTGTGTTGTCACCATGATTTCAAGTTTAACCCTATTTTCTCCCAAAGGACAGAAGAGGAGTCGCCTTGAACAGCATGATGGGAAAGAAGAGAGAATTTTGAAGTAACAGGGAAGTGGGGGAAGCTGGAGGTCTGAGAGCACGGCCAGGGCCTGCACGGTCGGTGCAGAGGGGATGCGCCCCCGCGACTCCGCCCGAGGGGAACCGAGGAGTTAGCGTTCTGTGCAAACAGCAGTGAGGAGTCACAGAGGAGTTTGAGCAGGCGATGACCTGCGGGAGCTAATGGGAAAGGCCCCTTGAGTGCCGTGAGGACACAGTGCCCCAGGTGAGGAAGTAAAGCTGGCTCTAGTCATTTCCTAGGAGTCCCTGGGAGTCTGGAAGTGTGGGGACCATTGGACCAAGGGCGCAGTGGGAACATAGTTGTATCTGGGGCGTGAAGGAAAGAGATGGTCTCCGCCTTCAACTGCCCAGACAGCACATCTGCAAACACGTCACACCTGCTGTTATCTTGTTACCAAAGTAAGACATTGAGTAAGAAAATTAAGACAGGAAAGTTTTGTATAAATATATACAGATATTATGTCACCTAAGATAAAATTCTAACAAAAACATATGACACTACGAATAAAAATACTACTAAGAATACTAAGAACACTAAGAATAAAAATAAGGGAAAACTAAGAATAAAAGTTAATTCCTCGAATGAATAAGCATGCTACACTTCACTGTTTAATGTGAACCCTCCAAAAACCATTATTTTGCCCATCACTTAATCAAATAATATCTGTGACAACTCTACATGGATCACATGACTCGAAAGATGTGTCGAGGTGGCTCGCTCTGCACGTGCCTGAATGTGTTCCTGGAAATCTCTCTGAAAAGTTCACATGAGCCCTTCTACCAGATGAATGGTCACCTGGTCTGTGAGATTGGACATGCAGGTCACTTTCATTTACTTTTGAAACATTTTCACAGGAGATGGAACAAATGAATTTGTTGTTACATACTTGTTAGAACCTCTGTCCGTTGTGGGTTCCTGGGAAGGAGATGCTTCTGTGATCACTGCAATGAATCAGAATCACAGTATCTGGGAACCGGACCCTTGTTGTGTGAACAGTCAGTCACCTGCTGAGCTGCAGGAAGCAGCTGAGCTCTCAGGGTTGTGGGGTATGAAAAGGTGTGTACTCTGCCACCTGCGGGTGGCGCTGTGGGACTGCCCTGTGGTCCCTAGACAGCTGCTCAGTAGGGAAGATTCACTCCTAGGAGTTTGGGCAGAGGGCTGGGGCCCAGTCCTCACTGATGGTGACAGAGCCACTGTGTCCTCTGTGGCCGGGCAGAGTCCCAGGAACTCGGTATTAGCTTCCAGTGCTTCCTTCCCGAGCTCTCCCAAGGGGTGAAGCCAACCCTCATCCTCCTCAGTGTGGGAGTGAGCAGAGCTCCAGCACCAGGGCTCAGGGAGGGGCGGGGCAGCCCCTGGGTGGACCCACATTTGCATGGACGGCCCCTCCCCTGGCAGAGGGTGGGGAAGAAAAGGAGGCCTGGGCGGCCCAGCCCCACTGTGGGCTCAGGGGCTGCAGGCACCATGGCCTGGACACCTCTCCTCCTCGTGCTCCTCTCTCAGTGCACAGGTAGGGACAGGCCCGGGACCAGGCCTCAGTTCCCAAGTGTATTCCCTTCATGCTCCTTCTCCTGAGAAATGTCATCTGGTTCCTGCCCCGTCCCTGACAAGTGTCTGTGTTTCTGCAGGTTCCCTCTCGCAGCCTGTGCTGACCCAGCCGCCCTCCCTCTCTGCGTCTCCGGGAGCAACGGCCAGACTCACCTGCACCCTCAGCAGTGGCTTCAATGTTGGCAGCTATGCTATATCCTGGTACCAGCAGAAGCCAGGGAGCCCTCCCCGGTATCTGTTGTCCTGCTAATCAGACTCAATCAAATAGCAGAGATCCGGGATCTCCAGCCGCTTCTCTGGGTCCAAAGACGCCTCGGCCAATGCCCGGCTCCTGCTCATCTCTGGGCTGCAGCCTGAGGACGAGGCCGACTATTTCTGTGCTGCAGCTCATGGCAGTGGGAGCAGCATCAGTTTCTCACAGTCGCTCAGATGACGAGGAAGTGAGACAAAAACCCCTGGGGTTACGGCTCTGAGCGCGAAGCTTCTGTGGAGGCTTCTGTAGGAGACGCCTCCGCCATCCGAAATGTCCATGGGAGGAGCAAAGAGCAGCACAGTGTGACGAGTGAGGGCGCGGGGCGCCCCAGGGTCGCTGACGCTGATGGGCTGAGAGAGCCCAGGGGATCATCCCCCTGGTGCCTGCAGTAAATTTTAAATGGAAAATTATCTTTTAGTAAAGATTTCAGATTTTTCCTCCTGCTGTGTCTTTTTTCGTACACACACAGAAACTTTCTGACGTATCTGGTCACCCAAACGGGGATATGTTCTCACAACAAGCAATTCTCTGCGACACCAGGTAGACGCCCCACCACATAACTCAGTCCCAGCCCGGTCTGCCTGGAGCGGGTGTCAGGGGCCAGTCTCAGGGCTCCGCCCTGCAGCACTGCCCGCCCTGCAGGTGCCTGTCACAGGCTGGGCGTCCCTGGGTTTTGCACAGCTTACAGAGGTTCCCATTGTCCCTCCCTTTACAATTATTTAATTTGCTAGATTAATGTGCTGGCTCCGCCTGAGCCATTCTCCTTCGTCAAGGAAGTGGCAGAGAGGGCGGGTCTGTCCATTCCCAGCTTGTAATCGTGCCTTTGTCTATTGAGTGGCCCGTCCTCACCCAGGAGCCCCGCCAGAGTCACCTCATTAGGACAATCAGCCTGCCTGTCCCCCCCAAAATTTCAAGGGTTCCAGGAGTTCTGTGTGAGCAACCAGGGATGGAGACCAATATATATTTTCTATTATGTCACAATACTGTGTCTGCGACTACAAACGATGACCAAGGTAGTCACGTTAACCCTCCAACTAGTGCCATAAGTAGGCACCTGTGGTACCTCTTCAACATCCCCACGGTCCCAGGCACCTAGGCCCCATCTGGGACACTGTGCCCTGGGGCCTCCTCCCTGACTCGTGACTTCATGACTGTCAGTGGGCTTTCCTGAGCCCACAGGCACTGACTGTCCCCTCCTCCTCTCGTACTCCCCTGGGGTCTCCCACCATCCAGAGTGCGGGCTGGGCTGCGGGACATCAGAAGCAGGAGGTCCCCGATATGGGCCCTCCCATGAACCTGCTGGTGAACCCAGATGCAGGTCGGCTTCTCCTGAGCAGGAAGCCGCACCGCGCGGGCGGTTCCCGTGACAATGTTCCCAAGGGCCCCCGGGTAGAGCCCCTGCTTTGGTGACTGAGGAGATCACTGAGCAACTGTCCAAGTGTTCGAGCCTGATTTGGTGGGTCCAGTGTTGTCGCCAGAACGTCCGGACCACCCCTGGCTTCCAGCCCCTGGAAGGAGCTGAGAACCATGGTCCTAGAGCCCAATGCAACTCCGATGCCAAGAGGACCTCCTGCTCTATGGGGAAGTGTGATCGATCTGCCCGCCCCGCCCCTGCCTGGCCACCACTTCCCTGTCCCTGCCAGTGACCACCACCGGCTCAGGGTTTTCCTTCTGCTGTCACTTGTGCTATTGAAACAAAAGGATCCATGCTTTTGGCTCTATCTATCATTCAATGTCAATAAAAGATCTGTCTTTGAAGTTACAGTTCTTGCAATGCAATCAGAACTGCTTAGGTTCCAGAGCAGAATAGCCGCACAAAACCGAAAGGGGTTAGGAAAGGCCTAAGCGCAGCATGTGTGACCCTGGAGAACCAGGTGCCCCTGCAAAGCGCCCTGTGTGTCCCCTGGTACCAGCCTGGGCTGTACTAACAGTTCTCTTCGCTCTGAAACCAAAGAGAAGCTGAGTTTTCTTTTCTCTTTTTTCTTTCTTTTTATGTGATTTTAGAGGTGTGTGGAGCCTCTGATTCACAGGTTCTGGGGAACAACTTCCCACCGAGCAGGTCTGACCAATCTCATTACTAAAAATTATGCACGTAGGAGAAAAACATGTGCAAAGGTGCACAACAGAAAGTGTTACTAGGGAAACAGCAAATTTAAACAATGAGTTACCACCAGGCTCCTATTAGACTGCCTAAAACTCAACACTCTTATGATACAATACAGAAAGCGCACTCCTAGGTGTTTGCCGAAATCAGTCACTGGTGTTCGAACAAGCATACGCCATGTGGTTTACAGGTTTTTATCCATGTTTGTGGAAGCTTAAAGCAACAGCTATGTCCTTCAATAGGCGAATGGATCAACAAACTCTGGTCCATTTCTACAATGAAATGTTATTTACAATATCAATAAATGACTTATAAGGCCACAGAAGGATATAATGCGCATATGTCAAAGTGAACGGATCCAATGTGAAAAGGCTGGGACTGAGGGGAGCAGGATCGGGGCCGGGGGCAGGGCAGGTGTCCTGAGCACCAGCTCCTGCCCCAGGTCGCCAGATCTCAGGCCTCCACCAGATGGCGCGCGTGCTCCACGGTTCCTCAGCTGTGAGTCCGGTTCCAGCCTCTTGCTCTGTCCACTTTGGGCTGAAGCCCTCTCTCTCTTAAAATTGCTTTTTTTTCACCTGGAGCCCTGGCTTAGGGAGAAGGAGGGGCTTGCAGAGCCTGTAGAGAGGGGAAATTTACATAGGGAGCCACCCTCACTGTTAGGGAGGCAGATAAGAATTTTGAAGGCTCAGGACTCTCTGTAGAGCTCAGGAAGTAGATCTGAGGGTTCTCCAGAATGGATTAGTCTCCACACTCCTTGCCCTCCTGGCTGAGAGCGCAGGTGGGGCCCCAATGGAATTCCTGGAGGGCACCACTTTGTCGCCTGGGTCGATGACCTCTCCTCCCTCCCTGGGGACAGCATGTGTCCTGTCTTCCCTGATCTCCGTGTTGCTTCCTCCTTCCAGGTCCTTGGGCTCAGTGTGTGCTGACCCAACACCTCTCTGTGTTAGGGTGTCGGGGACAGAAGGCCACCATGTCCTGCGCTTGCAGAAACAGCAAGATGGGGGACGAATAAGTGCGGTGGTACCAATAGCGCCCAGGCAGTGTCCCCATAACTGTGAACTATCGTTTAAACGAAAGACCCTCTGGGGTTCTGGATCGGTTCTCCGGCTCCATAGGCAGCTCCTCCGCCGCCGCCTCCGTGGCCATCTGTGGGCTGCAGCCCGGGACGAGGTCGACTGCCACAGTCTGCCTCAGGATCGCGGCTGTAAGCACACAGCGCTCCAGGCTCATGGGGGTGTGGGGGCACAGCTCGCCGAGGCCTCCCTGTCCTGGGTCTGCCCCCGCCCCGTCCCCACCAACCAGGGGTGCTCTCTTCTGTCTCCCGCTGATAACTTTGTGCTGAGATCGTAGGTTTAAGGGTCCTTTTATTTTCATTCGAATTCTCCCTCTGTCTGGATGGATGAATGCCTGTTCCTTTGCAGTGACTTCAGGAACGTGAGTTAGTTCAGAACAGGGCCTCTGAGCCTGAGAATTTCTGACGCTGGGGTGGCGTCATCGCTTGTGGATAGGGCGGTTCTGTATACGTGGCACATTGAGAAACTTCCTTTGGACTCCACACATAAGATGACAGTGGCATCCTCTTCTGTAAGCCATGACGCACCGTGTCACTTCTAGACACTTCTAAATATCCGCTGAGGGGGCCCGATCACCCCCGTTTGAGAACTCCTGGGTTAAAAGGACATGTTCTTAGCTGTCTGGCAATCTATGACTTTGAGTCTTGTTTATGCCAGTCCGCGGGATGGAGATTAATGTGCCATCTCTTTGTGCTTCTGAGTTCTCATCTGTGAAACAAAACAGTTACACAGACTCACATGAGGCCAGAGAGCATGTGACCCAGCCCTGTGGAATCTCCTCTCCACCATAGAGTGCAGTGCAAGGTTTGGCCAAATTCGTGTGCAGGTAATATTTGAAATTTTACACAATGCACACAATAATATAACGTATGTGTCTTCATTTATTCTCTTAGGGAGTGTTTTTCAGGCCTGAGATACAAAAATGAAGAAGCAGGTGTCCAGGTCTCGTACCCTTGGCGCCTCCATGTTCCTGTGGGTCCTAGGAGACAGACAGGAGCAGCGGGTGGGTGAGGAGCAGACGCTGAGGACAGAAGACAAGTTGACCTCCATGAGCGATGGGCTTCCCAGTGCAAGGCGGTTGAATGCTGGCTCACATTTCCCTTGACTTAGAGTCTGTAAGATCATCAATTGTCACCTGAGACTAATACACAGCTAGAATCCACCCTGTAATATTCGCCTTCTCAACACAACGTCCCACAAGGGGCTCCTCGTGAAGGAAGAGTGATGAGTTTAAAATCTCTGTATGACCAAGACAGGGTTCTGCCCTGGGATGTGGGTGAAGGAAACCCATAAATGATTGTCTGAGGACGTGTGTTCTGGTCTGGACTCTCTTCAATTCAAACATATCACCCATGAACCTTGTCTCCAAACATAGGATGCCCTATTGTTCTTTCACTCATTCACTTAACTGGAGTTAGTCAATCAATTAACTAACGATTCCAGAGATTACAACACACATTCATTTATGTGACAATGGTTGGAACCCATCGCTGTCCTGTGCAAATGTTTGGGAACATTAAATGCATATTTATGCGAAGCAACGTACTGATGAAAGGACATGGTGTGTGGATGCGTTTTCAGCCAGTGCGGGAGCAGAATGAGAGATCCAGGAGTAGAAGATTAAACTAGTGGAGTCCTACAGACGGCGGCGAAGGTGGCATAGTGGGTTCAGGTGGTTCCCTGGACTCTTCTCTGTAGTGTGTGTAACTTCAACATGGCCACATGTAACCTCTAGTTCTCTCTGTGATGATGTGTGCATGCCCTGCTAGTAAGAGCCACTGAGATTCACCAAAATGCGAGTCGTCACGATGATTTAAAGTGTAGTTGTATTTTCTTCCTAAGGATGGCGGAGGAGACATCTCAAACACCATGAAAGGGCAGGAGTGAGAGTTTTGAATTATTAGGAAGTGAGGGAAGCCGGAGGTCTGAGAACTTGGGGAGGGGCTGTGTGGTGGGCGTGGAGGTGCGCGGGCCCGACCGTGAACCCTCCCGAGGGGAGCCGAGGTGCTGGGATTCTGGGCAAACAGCGGTGGGGAGTCACGTGACAGAGAACCCTTCAGTGCCTTGAGGGCACAGCGCCCAAGGTAAGCAAGTGACCCTGGTCTTAGTCATTGACTAAGAGGCCCCGGGTGAGTCTAGAGGTGTGGGGATGACGGGACCAGGGGCACCTTTATAGCAGAGTTGGATCTAGGGCACATGAGGAAGTGATGTTTTGTAAATTCAACTGCCCAACATTCAGCAGCACATCTTCCAGTACTTCACAACATCTCTTTTATCTTGCTACTAAAGTAAGACAATGAATAAGGAAATGAAGGTAGGAAAAGTACTGTTTAAATATATATCAGTTTTAGGGCACCTAGAGTAAATTCAAACAAAACACACATGACAAAGGTATGCAGAACACAAGAATAAAGAATAAGAGTAAGCTAAGGATTAATGTTCATTCCAAAAATGAACCAGCATGCTACACTCTCCTGTGTTAAGTGTTAACCCTTCAAAAGCCATTCTTTTTTGCCAATCATTTAATCAAATCGGGTCTATGAAAAGGGTACATGCACCATGTGACTCGAAATGTTTGCTGAGTTGTCCTCCTCTGCTCATGCCTGTAAGTGTGTTCCTTGGAAATCTCTGAACAGCCCACAAGAGCCCTTCTAAGCAGATGAATGATCCCCTGGTCTGTGACTTTGGACATGCAGGTACTTTTGTGTTTATTTTGGAACACCTTCACTGGAGGTGAAAAACATTAATTTGTCACTTACATACACATTTGTACTTCCCACAGAAGGGACCCCTGGGAGCGAGGTGCTACAGTAACCAGGACAGTGAATCAGAGTCCCAGCATCTGGGAACCAGACCCTAAATGTGTGAATAGAGTCAGTGACCTGCTGAGCGGGAGGCGCCAGCTGGGCTTGCACACACGTGAGGAGGTGTGTGCAGTGCCACCAGCAGGGGTCACTGCGGGACTGCTCTGTGGTGCCTACCAGGCTGCTCCTTGGGGACCATTCATTAATAGGAGCCTGAGCCTGGGTGCAGGGCCTTTGCACACTGATGGGGACTCAGCATTTGTGTACATGTGGCTTGATGAAGTCCCCTGAGAAGGGACCTCTGTGTTGTCTTCAGAGCTACTTCCCCCCAGGATTCTCCAATGAGTGAAGCCCATCTTCATCCTCCTCCATCTGTGGTGTGAGCTGAGCTCCAGCTCAGAACTCAGGGAGCGCTGAGCAGCTGCTGGATGGACCCACATTTGCATGGACGGCCCCTCCCCTGGCAGAGGGTGGGGAAGAAAAGGAGGCCTGGGCAGCCCAGCCCCACTGCGGGCTCAGGGGCTGCGGGCACCATGGCCTGGACTCCTCTCCTCCTCGTGCTCCTCTCTCAGTGCACAGGTAGGGACAGGCCCGGGGACCAGGCCTCAGTTCCCAAGTGTATTCCCTTCATGCTCCTTCTCCTGAGAAATGTCATCTGGTTCCTGCCCCGTCACTGACAAGTGTCTGTGTTTCTGCAGGTTCCCTCTCGCAGCCTGTGCTGACCCAGCCGCCCTCCCTCTCTGTGTCTCCGGGAGGAACGGCCCGACTCACCTGCACCCTCAGCAGTGGCTTCAATGTTGGCAGCTATGCTATATCCTGGTTCCAGCAGAAGCCAGGGAGCCCTCCGCGGTATCTGCTGTCCTACTACTCAGACTCAATCAAGCACCAGGGCTCCGGGGTCCCCAGCCGCTTCTCTGGGTCCAAAGACGCCTCGGCCAACGCCGGGCTCCTGACCATCTCTGGGCTGCAGCCTGAGGACGAGGCCGACTATTACTGCCAGACTTACGATGGTAGTGCTACTAATTACACAGTGCTCCAGACTCAGGGGGAAGTGAGACAAAAACTCCCCAGAGCTTCCCCTTCTGGGTCTGTCCTCGGCCTGTCTCCGCCAAGGAGGGCTGCTCTCTTCTGTCTCCTGCCGGAAAGTGTGTGTTGAGAGTGTAGGTTTCTGAGTCCCCCTTTTTCCTTTCCAACTTTCCCCCTGGTCATGACGGTTGATTGCCTATCTCCTTTGCAATGAATTCCTGAGGGTGAGTTAGTGCAGAGCAGGGTATCTGAGCACATGCATTTGTGACCATGGGGGCTGGTCATTTCTGGTGGAAGGGTCTGTTCTGTGCATGTGGAGTATTGAGATACATCCTTTGGACTCTGCGCAGAAGATGACCTGGTACCCTCTTGTGAAGTTATGACCCACACAACCAGCTCACATTTCCTACTATCACCAGAGTGGGCCCAGTCACGCCAGGTGGAGACCCGCTGGCTGAGGACATGTTGTCAGGTGTCAGACAGCCTTTGCCTTTGAGTCCTGTTTACACCATTCCGCTGGATGGAGACCGATGTGCCCTCTCTCAGTGCTTCTGTGTTCCTGTCTGTTAGACAAATCGGTTACAGAGACTCACGTGATGTCAGGAACTGTGGCCCAGTCATGCGGACGGTCCCCTCGCCCAAAGTGTGAAGTGCAGCAGGAGGCCAGCCGGTGGGCGGGGTGCTGTCGGGCGTGGGGGGATTGAACAGAAAGCGAAAGGACGCATGGACACGGACACCCGTGTGGTGACTGCTGTGGGAAGGAGGGTGTGAGGGGAGTAAAAGGAAATGGGAAAAAGTAGAATAAAGAGTAAATGAAACAAACAAACAAAAAAAACCAAACAAAATTCCAATGTGTGAAGTACAATTTTTGGCCGATGTACGTGCGCAGTTAACTTTTTGAGATTTTACACATTGCATATAAGATATTTTACATTTATTTCATTAATTCTCTTAGTGTTTTTCAAGCCTGAGAGGCAAAGATGAATAAACATATGACAAAGTCTCGGACGCTGGGAGCCTGCGTGTTTGTGTGGGTCCTAGAGAACCGACGGGGCAGTGGGCGGGTGAGGCGCAAACAGTGAGGACAGAAGGCACGACGACACCGTGAACAAATTACCTGGCCAGGGCAAGGTGGCTGTTTGAACGCCTGCTCACATTTCACTGAATAGGCGTCTGGTAGGTCACCGGTTGTCATTGGAGACTAATACACAGCTCAAAACCCACCATGTGATCCACGAAATGTAATATTCAACCCGTCTACGCAACGTCGCACAAAGGTCTTTGGCTGGAACTCACGAAGGAAGAACCATGGAGTTGAAATCTCTCTGGGAACAAAGACAGGATCCTGTCCTGTGACGTGGGTGAAGGAAGCTGATAAATATATGTCTGAGGACATGTGTGCTGGGTGGACTTTCTTCCACTCAGACATGTCATCCATGAACCTCGACTGCAAACATCGGATGCCTTGTTCCTCTCTTACTTTCTGAATCAGTACAGTAATCCATTAAGTAACCATTCCAGAGATCACAACACGCATCCAGTTATGGGACAGTAGTTGGAACCCAGTGCTCTCCCGTGCAAATGTTTGTGGACAGAAATGCATATATATGCTACGACACGTGCCGATGAAGGGACATGGTGTGTGGGTCTGTTTCCAAAGTCAGTGCGGGAGCAGAAGGAGCAACACGGAGGGTCGAAGATTAAGCAAGGGGAGCGCGGTGGATGGAGGTTGAGGTGGTAAATCGATGCAGGTGGTTCTTGGAACTCTCTCTATAGTGTGTGTAACTTCACCATGTCGTCTTTAATTCTTTAACTCTGTCTGCGATGTGATGTGAGCGCCCTGCTACTAAGAACCACTCAGAACTGCCAAAGTGTATGTTGTCACCATGATTTCAAGTTTAACCCTGTTTCCTTCCAAAGGACAGAGGAGGAGTCACCTTGGACAGCATGAAGGGACAGGAGACAGGGTAGAAGGAAGAGGGAAGCGGGGGACGCTGGAGGTCTGAGAGCACGTGGAAGAGCCGTGGGGGGGACATGGGGGTGTGGCGGCCACCCATGAAGCCTCCGAAGGGGGGCCAGGGAGCTGGGGTTCCGTGCAAACAGCACTGAGGGGTCACTGAGGGTTTAAGCAGGAGGCGAGCTGCCTGAGCTGGATGAGAAAGGCCCCTCGAGTGCCTCGAGGACACAGAGCCAAGGGAGCAAGTGATCCTGGTCCCAGTCATTTCCTAAGAGGCCCTGGGAGTCCGGAAGCGTGGGGGCCGTGGGGCATGGGCACAGTCAAAGCAGAGCTGGATGCGGGCACAGAGGGAAGTGATGGTCTCTGCCTCCAACGGCCCAGCCAGTCAGCACATCTGCAAACGCGTCGCACCTGCTATTATCCTGCTACTACAGTGAGACAGTGAGAAAGAGCATTAAGGTAGGAAAATTCTCTTTAAAATATATACCAATTTTATGGCACCTAAGATTTAATCCTAATACAAAACACATGACAATGGCATGCGGAACACAAGAATTAAAAAAAGAGTAAACTAAGAATTAATGTTAATTCCTAAAATGAATGAACAAGCTACACTTTCCGCTGTTAAATGTGAAGCCTTCCAAAGCCATTCTCTTTACCATCATTTAATCAAATCGAGTCTATGAAAACTGTACATGTACCACGTGACTGGAAATGTTTGCCGAGGTGGCCTCCTCTGCACATGCCTCTGAGTGTGTTCCGGGAAATTTCTGTGAACAGCCCACACGAGCCCTTCTAACCAGATGAATGGTCCCAGGGTCTGCGATTTGGACATAAGGTCACTTGGCATTTACTTTTGTAACAACTTCACTGGAGGTGAAACAAGTTGATTTGTCACTTATGTATATGGCAATATATTTATCCACTGATTTAGTTTGCCTAAATGTAAAGGCGGTGCAAAAATAGTGCTAGCCACAGGGTTATTGTACAGATTAATGAGTAATATATGTGAAGAGATTCAAACTGTGCTTGATACAGCATGGTAACTGCCTAAGACGTTGTATTATTACAGCAGATAGTTAATACAAAAAAGTACATGATTATTATTCCCCGTCTTTTGAAAACCACTTTTTAATGAGGCTGAAACAGCCAAGACAACGTGAATCACGGTCAAGGAATCATGTTGTATCTTATGTATATGAGCATCCAGGGCATCCTGTTTGTCTTTTGAATCTACTTCAGTCAGTGTGTAAATGGCGCTGGAGTCTATGTGGCTCTTTGCGTTCGGTTTATTCACTACAGAGAATCTATCCAAGCATCTCCTGGTTACAACGCAAAGTGGGCAAACATGCACATATCTTCATTTTACAGAGAGGATGGTGAACTGCAGGGGACGCGACTTCTCCTTGTTGTGGCAGAAACACATGAGGGACATAGAATTGAAACCTAGCAACTGGATTCAAGCTCAGATTCTCCAAACACGTTGATCTTTCTACCTTCCTTTCTCTCTAAAATCAGTGAATAACCCTCTGCTAGGATTTAGCAAAAAAAAAACTTTTTTCATTTTAGAAAAGTATAGCGATATGCCCTCTTTCTGTTGCAGTGTGTTTTTACTGCGTTTTCATCTCAAACTGTAAAAAAAATGTTCTGCTCTGAAAAAAAGAGATCCAGCCTGGCGGCTGTGTTCTGAGACCTGATGTTTGCAAACCTGCATACCTTAAGGAGGCTGCTGAAATGCTCCTGCTGAGACAAAGAAGGGAGATAGCAAAGAAGTGGTGTCTCCACATGTGCTTTAAAGCAGCGTCTGAGGAGACCAGAAATATCATGAGAAGGACTTCTTGGTGGGGGCCAGGATTGGGCTACTTAGCTGCAAATCTTGCTGGTTGTGATGAGCTGGCCTCAAACCCATGGGCATAAAGAAATTTGTGTTCTTCAGGGGAAGAGAAGGACAGGCCGTGAATTGAGTTTGATAAACCTCATGAGTTGTTTTTCTTGAAGCGAGGGAGTGCTAGTCAGTAACCGAAGTTTGAAATATCTACAAAGGAACCACCCTCGTCTTTCTGCTGCAACGACGATACGACACGGTTAAAGCACATTCACGTCGTGAAGACCCACCTCCATTTCTAACGTTCTCTAGATGTCTGCAATGCCAAGCCTAGTTCTTAGGGAGGGAGGGTGGAGGCTCAAAATTCCGATGTTGCTGTCTGTCTCGAAGGCGGTTCAGCAGCGCTCGCTTAGGACATGTCCCCCTTTATCCCATGGGGAGTTAGACTGATTGTTTCCCCTTCATGACCTTAACTCGTGTGCGTCCCTACTCTGATGTCACAGAATTCAGAACCTGAGAGCCCCAGACGGCTTCACCCCCGGGTGCAGCGAGCACAGTGTGGCCCCCGCAGCGGGCAGGGGCCGACCTCACGGCTGCTAGTCCGGGCTCTCCGCGGGATCGGGGCTCCGGCCCGCACCTGCTGGAAGAGCGGGTTCACAGCTGAGCTCAGTTTATGGTTAAGCAGTTCTCATTTTGTTCTGAAACCCGATTTCCTGAAACTTCCTCCCATGGGCCCCAGTTCCTTCCTGTTGACTTCACCTTAGTTTTTTACTGTTTGAGATAGCTTTCCTGGGTGCCAGAAGGACTAAGGTGCCTCCTGCCTCTGAGGCCTGGTCTCCCTTTGGTCTGGATAGGAAGGTGTTGGATATGGACATGGAGCAGCCATGGTTTTATGGGGTAAGATTAACCTTTGAGTCTGAGCAATGTGCCTGGGATAGAGGCGACAATGTAAACTTCCTTTGTAAGGGAACTAGAAGGGGCCTGGCGGTGCAGTGTCTTTGAATTACTTCTGTAATATTATTATGGTCACTATTGTTTAAGAGGTTTGCTTTCACAGCAGTGTGAGGAGTGAAGGGGAGGGGCTTCCGCTGCACTTGGGGGTGGCTCTCAGCAGGGGAGAGGCAGCACTGACAGGGTCCAGAACCAGGCGGCTGAGGATGGGAGATTTAGGGAATACACAAGATACTGAGATATTCAGAAACTGTTAGAAGAGGAAATCCTGTCCTATATAGTGAATGTTTATGTGTCCCCAAAATTTCTATGTTGAAGCCTCATGCCCAATGTGATGTTATTTGGACATGCGCCTTTGGGAAGTGATTATATCATGAAGTTAGAAA